TTAGTTTTTGTTTTTTATGTAATTTAGATTAGGATAAAACTTTTCACCAATCTATTTAAACCCCCGTCTTTAAAACTTTAAAAACTCCTTTTCTTAAAATTCGTAATATAAAAGCTATTAAATTAGTATTAGCTTTAACTAACCAGAGCTCTATTATTTTCAAAAACGTTATTTTTAGAATTTCAACATTAGCAAAAATAATCTTCTTTCTATTTGAACTTTTTTACTATAGCTAGGAAAATTTTATTCTGAACTCTTACATGTTCAAAATTTCTTTCTTTTGTAATCGAACAACGTCTGTGGATATTTACATACAGGTCCGTATATATTTCTAAAATATTATTAACGTTAAGATTATTTATTTCTTTAGTTTCGGGCATGATGGAATTGGGGTTAAAAATTATTAGAATATTTATATCTCTACGACAATTATATTTAAGCTTTTTTGTTCTCAATCTTCTGAATTTCACTTTTTAAAATAAAAAACAAAAAAATATAAATCCACTTTTCGAGTCAATCTGGGTAACATTAACCAAATTTTAAACAGCCTATTATTGTCAGACACTCCTCTACTTGTAAAATTGCCCTTAAAAATTTTATTTGAACATAGATGGATAATGCCACAAAGGGCTTTGTCTTGTTATATTACAAAAGTATGCAGGATTCGAATCTGTATAAAATATTTTTTTGTGGATTTAAAGTCAGGCGAGTTTAAAGTAAAAAAATATAAATACAGTAAAATGTGTACGAAAAGTGCTTTGTTTCTCTGGGTTTCGGTCACGAGCTGGATGCGCGAAATTTAGTAATTATATCTCTGGTGAAAAGAAACACTAATTATTTATAAACCTCAATTTTTGATAAAAATTTACATAAAAAACAATTCAATTTTTATAAGTTAAATTAATGATAATTTCATTTTTGGTACTAAACTAAATATAAAATTTTAACTAAATTGAAATTTTGTTAAAAAAAATAATATGTTTTAAAAATAAAACAAAAATTAGAAAAAAGTGCTAGTTGCGATATCTCTGGGGATCAGTGCGGTTATTACCCCCAAGGAAAAATGATCGCAGTATAATTTTTTTTAATATTTTACCAGTTATTGTTATTGGTACTGATATAAATTGTTCTATTAACTTTCTCAAGTCTAAAGGATTAACTAAAAGAAGCATGTGTTTTGTTTATTACTCTAGAGGTATATATTGGCTAGCTTGCAGTAAGATCAAAGACAAATTTGTTTAGAAGTGCAGAAACAATCAATGTCTTATGTTTAAAACAACACTTTCAATCAGAAACATTTCGTTTTTTGAAAAACACACGAATTGATTTACAAATGGGAGTGTACGCCATTTACCTTTGGAGCATAAACACCTCGCATAAAAACATTGACGTTTTAAAGGAATAGGACACGATAAGGTAACTGACATGTGTAGAAGTTTTAGAAATGCATATGTAGAGTTCTTTATTAGAAATACTATTTCCCTTGGTGGTCCTGGCATTATATGCCAAATTGATAAAAGCTTGTTTGTTCACAAGCAAAAATATTATAGAAGACGAACGTCAGAACATCAAGTCTAGGTTTTTGGGATAGTTAATACAAGCTATGTATTAAAAAGAGGATACATGGAGATTGTGGCCCAAAGAGATAAAGCCACCCACCTTTATACTATTCGAAGAATATGTTTACCTGGTACGATTATTTATTCAGATCAATGGGCTGAATATGGGGATATTACAGGCTTGGGTTTTCAACATTATACAGTAAACCATTCTTTAAATTTTGTTAATCCTGATAATGGTGTCCATACGCAACATATTGAATCGTATTGGAATAAGAATAAAATTTATATAAAAAAAATGAAAGGCGATAAAAAGGAAGACTTAAATTCATATCTTGCAGAATATATGTGGCGTGAAAGATTCAGAGATAGCGAGTTTTATAAAATATTAGAATGTTTGACCGAAATGAACGAAAATAATTAAATTTCTTTATTATTTTATTTCTGGGGGGAAATAACCGCACTGATCCGTCCCTGGGGGTATGTACACATGTTTTAAAGAAACTCTATTAGGCCCTTGTTAAATATTTCGGTTATGAAAAATTTTGTTTTAGAAAACTTACTAGCTTACACTACCCCGTTGAAAACGGGATCATAAATTTAATGTGTGTTTTTTTTATTGGTTTTGATGTGCTTTTATTTATGTACTTATTTTATTGTTTTTAACTACAAATTACAATTTTTATAATAAATTTAAAATTTGCTATAGACACCTTATATAAGATTAATATAACTAAATACAAGCAAGGAAAAACGCACAAAAACACCGTTCCGTGCTCGTAGAAATGAACCCCAAAATGATGCTACTAGTTCTTAATAAAAAATACAAAGAATTTTACAAATTTTTTAAAAAGAAGGGTTTAAAAATAAAAAAATGTTAAGATTTAAACTTTTTATATACAGTAGTGGCAAAAAAAGGAATATTTGAATAGTATAGTAATCATTCACTTTATAGCCACATCATTTGATTTTTTACCTTGATAGGAAATTTGAAATACACTGGAAAAAATTACTATGTTTTTTTAAAACTTTTTTGATATTAACAGAAAATTTTTTATTTTAGGTGGCAAAAAAATGGAATGTTTTTTTGGCGGGAAAATTTAATTTAAAACTATAAAAGGCTTTATTTTTATCCCTTATAACACAAAAATTATTGAGTGAAAAGTCCGAGATTAAGGCTTTTTTAGAAATTGGCTGTAAACAAAAAGAAATTTCAAAAAAGTTCTTGATAAGCCAATCGACGGTTTCAAAAAAAAATAATGAAACGGGACAATGGGAAAGAAAATCGGGTTCTAATAGGCCTTCATTACTTAATAGTAATGATATATCTTGTTCGAAAAAAAAATAAATGCGGATCCACAAATTGGAAGTATTAAGTTTGCTGTAGAATTCAAGAAAATAGCTAAAAAAATATACCTCCTCGATGTATACGAGATAATTTGTGTAAAATAGGATTACATGGTAGAATTGCATGTAAAAACCAATTCTTTCTAAAAGGCATATTATGGTAAGAAAACAGTAAGCAAGTAAACATGCTTGCTACTCTGATAAGAGATGGAATCGGGTTATTTTTGGTGGTAAAACAAAGATAAATCTATTTGGCTCTGATGGAAGAGTTTATGTGCGAAGAAAAGTTGGTCAACGATATAATAAAAAAAATTTAAAACCCACAGTAAAACATGGTGGTGGTACATCATGGTTTGGGGATTATTTTCGAGTGCAGGTATTGGAAATATATGTATAATTGACGGTAAAATGAACAGCGAAGCATATTGTAGAATTTTAGATACACATCTTGCGCCTTCCGCAAAAAAATTAAATTAAAAAATTATATTTTGCAGCAAGATAATGATCCGAAGCATACAAGTAAATGCACTAGAGATTATTTGTCAGATCAAAAAATTTTAACTTTAGATTGCTTGCACAATCACCAGATATAAATCATATAGAAAATCTATGGCATGTTCTTAAGGTAGAAGTAGGGAAAAGGAAACCAAAAAATATAAATGAATTTAAGAAATGTGTTGAAGAAAAGTGGAATAAGATAGATGTAGATGTGTGTAAAAACCTGGTAAAAAGCATGAACAGTAGATGCAACGAATTATTTAGAGTGAAAGATGGACATACTAAATTTTAAATAAAAATATTCCCTTTTTTGCCACATAATTTTTTATTTAACTAATTAAAGCATTGTGTTAGTGTAACAAATAAAACTAACTATTTAAACAATTATAAATGTTTGTAGCTCCTTTTAAAATGGCAACAACTTTTTATGATATGAAATTTTTAATTGCAAAATTAAATATTCCCTTTTTTTGCCACTACTGTAGTTTAAAAAATTTGTGATAAATAAAGAGAAAATATTTAATGAGCTTCTAATTGTTATTATAAGAGTTACTGAGATGAGAAATACAGTAGACTTAAATAAAAAAAACTTACATATTTTCAAAAATTTAGCTTTTTTTTAAGCGGGGTATATTTGGGAATAGCCCAATTTTTGGGACCATCTTTGACTTCCACCCTACTTCTTTTAAATAAAATTATTATTTGACTAAAGCATTTACCTGATGTGTAATAAGCATCTATCAGTTTTTTTTCATATCATAGGAACTTAAAATTTCCTTTACTAATAAGGGGCCAAAATTATTTTTTTAAAAAAAACCTTAAAAACATCCTCAATGTCATGGCGTCCCCAAATCACTAATTTTTAAATAATTTAATCCCCTATATGAGAAAATTTTACGAATTATTGGCCAGAAAGGATTACCCGTTCCAGCAGTAGATTTTTTTATTTATAGTTTTAATAGAAAAGGATCTAATGGCAACGACTATTTGAGGTGTTCAAAGTTAGGATACGGCGCCTCGATTGTAACAATGAAGTCCTCCATTGTTAAAAAAACTGGAACTCATATGCACAGTAATAATCTTACAACAATCATTAAGTTCCAAATGTGGGTTTTTTTTAAGTCAAGACTTTTGGAGAATCCGTTTATTTCTGCAAATAAATTATATGATGCAGCATTGTTTTTATTCATGTGATGAATTTATTCTGGGATTTGCACCTTCCTATTTTTCACTTAAAACCAGTTTATATAGATGGAAAACAGAAGTTTTGCCAAATGGCGACTTTTTAGCAATACAGAATTTTAATTTTAACGAGTTTATTTTACTAAACGGGCATAATACTCTAATTTTTAAAGAGATAGAAATACATAAAATAATAATTATGAGCGATCTGGATTTTATTGGCCGGTTTACTGCTTCAAAAAACTAGAAATTAGTTTTAGGCGGAACTTTTAAGTCCTCATAGAATAGTTTTTTTCAGCTTTATATAATTCATAGTGATTTTAATAGACAAAGCTTTCCACTGGTTTGCATTTTTTTATTTAGTAAAACAGAGGATTTATATGTTAACGCCTTTTCAGATTTAAAAAATCAATTACATCGTTTTGGAATAATCCTAAACCCTGATAAAATTCAAATTGACTTTGAGATAGCGACGTTTAATACTATAAGAATTGTTTTTCCAGATGCAAGTGTATCTGGATGCTATTTTCATTTTGGACAGGCAATATGGAGAAAAATTCAAAAACTCGGACTTGTAACATTGTAAAACAATAATATTTTGTTTCGAAATTTTGTTGAAATGCTTTCAGGCATTGCTTTAGTA